TGGCCGAGGCGATGGCCCTGGGACGGGAGGCTGCAGACTGGGTGTCAGGTCACTTCCCCCCACCCATCCGGCTCGAGTTTGAGAAGGTAAGTAGGGATCCCCAGTGCTGAGAGTTGGGCACATGTGGATCTTGCCAGTTTCAGGGGGTCTCTGATTCCCAGGGTACCTGCAGACTTTAAGAGTGCATTCATGTGGGGTTCCCCAAGTATGTCAGGGGAACCAGTATATCTGGGGAACCCTGAGGTTGCCCAGGGTCGCTCCACATTGGGGTACCCTGATCTGCTTATTCTGCATATTCCAGGTTCAGGTTCATAAGCCCCAGTTTCTAGGTATTGTGCTAGATTCTCTGGATTCTCCCAGTTTGAGGCCTTGGTTTGAAATCTCCAAAGTCTTGCGTGTTGCTATGCAGGACACTGGCTGCTTCTGGAAAACCCTGTCGATCTTGGAGCATCGCTGGGTTTGGTCCTGGGTGGCAGGAACCACGACAGGGACAAATCCTAGATTGGGGAGCCATTGTCCAGAGCTCCCCAGCTTCTAGCCTGTGCCGGTCTGGCTCTGGGGAAACTTGCACATATTTTAGCCGCAAGGTGCAAAGCTGGGGCAGGCCATGGGGCGCACCTGTTCTCAGATTTGTAGCCTCCCGGTTGGGGGAAGTCCCCGCCTCAGCGCACACTCCCAGGCCTTCCTTACTCTCCGTTCTCTGAGGGGAGGGGGTGCTGCCTCGTACCCCCCCCCATGCGCTCCAGGTCTGTCATAGCCTCAGATTTGGGGCCCCCCCCCCAAGCTTCATCCTGCATCTGGGTCTCGTGTTTTAGGGCCCGTCTCTAGGTGTGTCCCAGTCCCTGTTTCTGACTCGGGAGCTCTGGCACGGAGGCCCGCGGAATGCTGAGGGGGTCCCGGGCTCCCTGTCACCTCTGTCAGTGTCCCAGCCCCGTGTGGAGGGAACAGCCCTGTCCTGCCTCTGGGACAGCCTCAGGGCTTTCAGCCACGGGTTCCCGCCAGGTCTACTTCCCCTACCTGCTCATCAGCAAGAAGCGCTACGCCGGCCTGCTCTTTTCCTCCCGGCCAGATGCCCATGACCGCATGGACTGCAAGGGCCTGGAGGCTGTGCGCAGGGACAACTGCCCCCTAGTGGCCAACCTCGTCACCGCCTCGCTGCGCCGGCTGCTCATCGACCGGTGTGTGGGACCCTCCCCCCAGAACTGGAGCCCCGGCCCTCCTCCCCGCCGGGAGCCCTGGCCCCCAGCCCTTCCTCCCTTGGGGACACAGGTGTCAGGCCCGGCTCTTCCTCCATGGTGAGCTGTGGAAAGACGGGGGTTGGACAGCTGTGGGCTCAAGCCCCACCCCTGCTGCTTTGCGCCTGTGGCCAGGCAGGGCCCCTCCCCACCCCGGCCTCAGCCCCCAGAGTGCATCCTGGTCCCCAGCCTGGGGAGGTGCCAGTCGGAACACCCTAGTCTCGGCCTTGTAGCGATCCTGAGGGCGCCGTGGCCCACGCAAAGGACATCATCTCGGACCTGCTGTGCAACCGCATCGACATCTCCCAGCTGGTCATCACCAAGGAGCTGACGCGCGCGGCCGCCGACTACTCCGGCAAGCAGGCCCACGTGGAGCTGGCCGAGAGGTCTGCCGGCACGGGGCCGGGACTGGGGACTGTCCAGAAATAGCCCTTCTGCCAGCTGGGCCCGCCACTTCCTACACCCCTGCCATCCCACCTGCTCTCACCCACCCGCCACCCTGGTCTCCCCACAGGATGAGGAAGCGGGACCCCGGGAGTGCGCCCAGCCTGGGCGACCGTGTCCCCTACGTGATCATTGGTGCCGCCAAGGGCGTGGCTGCCTACATGAAGTCCGAGGTCAGGCCCACCTGGGCTGCCCGCGCCCGCCCAGCTCTCCCCAGCTCTCACTTCTGCTTTCCAGGCTGGGCGGGGAGGTGGTTGTCTGTGGGCCCCACGGGACCCTGAGAACCGCCCCCAACACACCCCTGGGAGTTGGCTTCGAGTTGCTTTGCTCCCAGGCCTCCCTGCGCCCTCTGGAGGTCCCCGTTATTCCCACCGCTCCCTCAGTGCCCCTGCAGGTGGGGCCAGCCTCACAGTGCGTGCAGCATCTCTTGGTCTCTCCATCTCTGCGTCTGCCTGTCTCTTTCTGTCTCCTTGGCCCTTGCCTTCCAACCTATGGTTTCCTCGGGTTCCTGCCCTCCCAGATGTCCCGTGACCTCTGGCCCCCATGACCCTTCCTCAGCCCCCATTTCCTGTCCTCCCTTCTCATATCCCAATTTTCATCCTTCCACTCCAGCTCCCGTCCACCTTCCCAGCCCCTTGCTGTGAACTTGACCCCTCCCTGGTGACCAGACGGCCCTCGCCCATGGACCCCAGCACAAATGCCCTGCAGGGCAGCCTCTGTGCCTGGTGACTCGTACAGTGCTGCCCCCATTCGTGACCAGAAGACCCCCGCAGAGACTCCTAGAGCTCTTCACTCACACTCTGTGCTGTTGACCCCTGGCCCCCGAGTGTGACCCTGCCTGGCCACTCTGCCCACAGGACCCCCTCTTCGTGCTGGAGCACAGCCTGCCCATTGACACACAGTACTACCTGGAGCAGCAGCTCGCCAAGCCGCTCCTGCGCATCTTCGAGCCCATCCTGGGCGAGGGTCGTGCGGAGGCTGTGCTGCTGCGTACGGGGGACACCTGGGGGAGGGGGGCGACCCTTGGGCTGGGGGAGGGCTCTGGGCCCACCACCTGCCCTTGCCTGCAGGGGGGGACCACACCCGCTGCAAGACGGTGCTCACGGGCAAGGTGGGCGGCCTTCTGGCCTTTGCCAAGCGCCACAGCTGCTGCATTGGCTGCCGCACTGTCCTCAGCCACCAGGGTGAGTGCTGTCCCCGCCCTTGGTCCTGGCCTGACCCCAGACCTGCCCTTGGCCCAGACCCCAGACCTGGCCCCGCCCTCCACCCACCCCTGCCTTTACCTGAGTCCCCGGCACCCGCCCCTCAAGCTGGTGCTGCTGCCCAGATAGGCCCTGGCCCCCAAGCGGGGGCCTCCAGTCTGCAGGCACCCCAGTGAGGGTCCTGGGCCCCCCACCTCGGGAGTTCCCCGGGGAGTTTTCCCCACACACTCGCTCCCTTGTTCTCTGTCTCCGGGGACTTTCAGAAGCCGGGATGGGCAGCGGGCGGAGAAGGGGCAGAGATGGGGTGGCCTGGCCCCAGCTCCCCTGTGCTGACCCGCCCCCCTCCCAGGAGCCGTGTGCAAGTTCTGCCAGCCCCGGGAGTCTGAGCTGTACCAGAAGGAGGTGAGGGGACAGGGGTGGGGGTGGCGGGGTGGACAGTGGTGAGGAGCCAGCTCAACCCCTCCATCCCCAGGTGTCCCACCTGAACGCCCTGGAGGAGCGCTTCTCACGTCTCTGGACTCAGTGCCAGCGCTGTCAGGGCAGCCTGCACGAGGACGTCATCTGCACCAGGTACTCACCACCCACCATCATCGCCCTGGCCTGCCCGAGTCCCGCCAGGCCCTGGAGGCCTGTGGACCAGAGCCCCAGGGTCTCTAGAGCCCCCCACCCACGTCCCCCTCTGGCTGTGGGTTCTTAGTGCCCCTGGATGTCCTGGCCAGTGCCATCTTGGCCTTCCTAGGGGTGGGGGCAAGCTGGGCACCCGGTATCTGCCTGGGAAATGGCCAGACTTCACTCACGTGTGCATGCGGGCGGACACACACACACACACACACACACGCCCTGGCCCCTCACCCAGGGCGGGGCCGGGCTTTCCCCAGGGAACAGGTGGGCGGGGTGGGTTCCCACGCCAGGTGACAGGTGATATACGGCTGGTGGCCCATGCCCGCTGAGCAAACAGCCTGTCATGGGAGGGGGTTGGGTGGGCAGCAGGCAGGAGCCAAAGTCCTGGGAACAGCCCCTAACCCATCCCTGAGCTGGGTCTCCTCCCTGACCCCGACCTCTCCGGCCGACCCTGACCCCACCCGCAGCCGGGACTGCCCCATCTTCTACATGCGGAAGAAGGTGCGGAAAGACCTAGAGGACCAGGAGCAGCTTCTGAGACGCTTCGGACCCCCTGGCCCTGAGGCCTGGTGACCTCTGACCTCGGTGGACTTCCTGTGAAGGACTAAGGGTGTGAGACTGATGGAGAATTAATAAAGTTCAAGCCTTTTGTTACCTGGCGCTGTGTGGTGTCTGGCCCCCCAGACGAGGCCCCCTCTCATAAACCCTGGCCAAGGTCATCTCCACTCGTGGGATCCCCTGATCCCCCGGAGTCCCCCACTGAACCTCTTCACCCCCCTTGCAAGGCCCCCTGGCTCCCACGTTGGCGGGCCTGCCTGCCTCAGTCTCCCCCGTGAGCCCACCCTCAAGGCCCTGAGTGAACATCCCACAAGCCCCTTTCCCCCTGGGGTGCCCCGCCCTCCAGGGGCTGACCTGTTTCCTCCAGGCTTGGGGCAGCCCCGGGCGTGGAGGCTCCCACCCCCTGCATGGCCCAGGGGACCCCCGTCATGTCACATGCCCACGAAGTTTCCACCTTGGAGTCCTCTGGCTTTGGGCCACGGTTTCATCAGGGACCCCCCAGTCCATGTCCACTTAGGAGAGTCCCAGGGACCCCACCTTGCCTTCCGACTCCATTCATGCTTGAGTGCCGGTCGGTCTCGTGTCCCCCAGGCCCTAGAGACCTGCTCCCCTCCAGCTTCTGGGTCTAGAGTCCCCCATCCCATTCACTGATCCCCACTTCACTGACGACAGGCTTCTTTGGCCCCTCCTTTATTTCTTAGGAACCCTCAAATCCAGTTCCTTAATCCCTCAGGGTCAGCCCCCATCCCCACCCCTAACTGTGGGGATCCCCAAATCCAGAGGGCCCTTGGGTCGGCCCTCACCACCACGTGACCAAGGGGTTGTGCAATCCAGCCCCCTCCCCTGACCCCCTCCCTGAGGGGATTTTCGAGGAGGCTGAGCTCATGCCGGCACCCCTGCCCCCCCAGGGGGCTGGGCCAAGGTATAAATAGGGGTGGTGGCTGCAGCTGGGGCAAGTCCAGCTCAACACCGCCATGCTCGCCCTGGAGGCTGCACAGTAAGTGGGGCCCCCTAAACCTGTACTCGGGACCCCGCCCCACTGCTCCTCTGGCCCCTCTGCCCATCCTCCCCCAGGGGGCAGGTTGGGGGGAGGGGAGGGGGAGGGGTCCACACTGTCTCCTGCTCCTGGATCCCATTCCCTCCCATCGGGGATTTCTCCCTCCCATCGGGGATTTCTTCCTCCCCGCAGCCTGTCTCTCCCAGACCCCGGAGAGCTTTCCTTGGGAACGTGCTTCTCCCCCCCCTGCTGCTGATGTCCTGTCCCAAGTGGCCCTCTCCTCCTCCTGTCTCTCCCTCCCTGTCTGTCCCACTGGGTCTCGCTGGGTGTCCTCACTGTGTCTGCAGCTCACACTGCTTTGTGCCACATCTGTTTTGGTTTTGGGGCCTCTGTTCTCTGCCTCTCGCTCCCCCTCTGTCTCTGTGTCTGTGTCAGTCACTTTCCAATTCTGTCTGTCTCACCTCTCCTGCGGTCTCCATCTCTCTCCACCCCATCTCAGTCTCTGGGACTCAATAAATACTTCCTGCATCTGAGAGTCAATGTCCCTCCCCACACCTTCCCTTCGGTCTTCTCTCCCCCTCCACTGAGTCTCTGTTCCCTGTCGCTTCCAGGGTGCCTGTCCATCTCACCTCTGGTCCAGCATTGACCTGTTTAGTCCACTGGCTAGTGGAGGCCTCCTCCCCGCCCCCACCCGCCCACCAGCACCCACACCGCCTCTCGGGGGACTTTCTCTCCCTCACTTTCCCTGCCCCCCCAGCCTCTGTCTATGCAAATCCCCGGGGAAGGGGGACATTTGCCTGGCCCCCGCCCCCCCCACTTCCTGCCCGTTGGTCGGGGAGTGGGGGCGACTGTGGTGGGGCTGGTCTCGCACACGGACACAGCAGACGCCACAGTGGTCACAGCTGCAGCCACCTCCCATCAGCTCTCCCACCACTTGGAGGCCCAGGTGGCTGAAGGCACGGCTGACATGCCCCTTTGTGTCTCCCCCTCCAGGCTCGACGGGCCACACTTCAGCTGTCTGGTGAGTCTGGGCCCTGGGGGCCAGGCAGTGGGGGGGGGTGCCCCACATGGCCCACTCTGACCCCCCTGCAACAGTTTGCCCTTTCTCTCCTTCCTATCGCTCCATCTTTCTGACCCTCCCTCGGTGTCCCCCAGCACCCCTCCACCCCACCCCTCCCCTCCTGCCCCCATTTCCACCACAGACAGTCTGCTGTGTCTTCCTCCTGTCAGGCTCTGGGTCCACGTCCCTGCGTGGGGAGGTGGGGGGGTCTTTGTGTCCTGGACTTTGTGTCTCTTCTTCTGTCCATCTCACGCTCAGTAGATCTATTCTTTCTTTCCATGTCTGCTTTGTATTTTCAAAAATTTAGTCTGTACTGTTTCGGACATGCAGAATACTATACTCAATACCCATATGCCCACATCCCCATGCAAGAAATAAAACCTCACGTGTGGGCTTGAAAGAAACCCCCTGCGGGTGCCCCTCCCCTATCAATCCCACCCTCCTCCCACTTGACCAGTTTTGCTTTTTCACAAAATTGAGACATACCGTACAAGTCAGCCAAGTGACAAGGCTTGTGTACACCTCAATAAGGTTTTATGTTATGCACACACTCATGTAACCATTAACCAGACCAAGATACACAACATTTCCATCACTCCAGAAGATTCCCAGTCAATACCCTGTCTCATATTTTCCCACCATGCATTAGTTTTGCCTGGTTTTTAGCTTTATATAAAGTAAATCATGCGGGGTGTCCCCTGGGGGTTGGATGTCCTCGGTTCAACAGTGCGTCAGGTGTCGGCTCCCCGAGCTGTATGCTCTGTGGCCAGACCCCACCAAAGTCAGTTTATCCATCGCCTGTCCTCGGGTCCGTGGGCTGTTGGTCTTTTGGGGCTATTAATAAAGCCGCTCTGATGATTCTTGAACAAGGCTATTTTGTGGACATACATCTTCAGTTCTCTTGGATTAACACCTAGGAGCGAGATCTCTGGGGCATCTGGATGGGGTGGCCCTGGCTTTAGTTTTTACTAAGCTTTAATTGCTAAATCAACACGTGATCCTTGGCACATGCCAAAGCGTTTTGGGGGATAAAAGAAGCGGCGACACTTTCTTTGCTTCTGTTAAAACTCTTCATCCTCTTATCCTTCAGCCTCCGCCCCAGGCAGGCACGTCTGGGGCTCCTCCGCACAGCCCCCAGGGGCTAGGATGTGCCAACCGTGTCTTGGAGGTGCTGGGGTTCCGGTCTTAGTGGAAGCTGGCTGCTGTGTCCCTCTCCAAGACCCTGGGCCTCTGTGCTTCTGTGTCCCTGTCCGTGTGTGTGTGTCCCTGGGTCTGTGTTTCGGCTGTGTTGTCTGTCTCGTCTCTCTGTATCTCCACATGTCTCTCTTTTTGCCCCTCTCTCTCTAGTGCCTCTTCTCTGTGTCTTTCTCTCCTTTTACCAGACTCTTCTCTCCCCTCCTGGTCTCTCTCAGTTTCCCCACTGGCCCAGGGTAGGGGTGGGAGTTCCCTGTGGCTGGCGATGACCCCTCTTCCCCCCATTCCTTTCCCACCCCATCAGTACCCGGATGGAGTCTTCTACGACCTGGACAGCTGCAAGCACCCCAGCTACCCTGACTCAGAGGGGGCTCCTGGTGAGCGACCCCAGCCCAGGACCTTCCCCACCTGGGCCTCAGCCTGTGTCACAGATGGGAGCGCTGAGGCCCAGGGGAGACGGCACCCAACACAGCAGGATAAGCTTAGACCCGGCCTCAGACCTCCCCCACCTTTCCTTTCCCACCCACCCACCCACGCATGCAAATCCCGGGTTCAGAGATTTGCATGGCTCACAATGGCCCCTCTGTGCTGGGGGCTTCTAGTGGGAGGGGGCTGAGGCCAGACCTCCTGGCTTCTGACTCAGTGCCCTTCCCCCAGACTCCCTGTGGGGCTGGGACCTCAGTCCCGCTGTCCCAGCTGCCTCCTATGAAGCCTTCAACCCGACCGTGGCCACCTTTGGCCACCCCCAAGGTGTCCAGCTCTGTTATGGACCCTCGACCTACAGCCCTGTGGGGAGCCTTGACCCAGCCCCCAGCGTGGAGGCCCCTGGGCCCAGCTTCCCAGCGTACCCCATGGAGGACTTCACCAGCCAGGTGAGGGGGAGGGAGACGACTGACATCCTGATCATTTGACTGACTTTTACTAGGTGCCAGGCGCTGCATTAAACCCTGTGCGCATATTAACCCCTTCATCCCTCTGACGCCCGTCTGAGGTTAAGTGCTATTATCTATTGCACGAACCAGCCAACAGAGGCACAGACATGAGCCAGGGGCACTGCGGATGGCCATCATCTGCTCCGGGCAGGCTTTCATGGAGGTGGCCTGGGCATCCCCTGGCCACGCCATGGAGGTCTGAACCGAGGCCAGAGTGCAGGCTGTAAGCAGAGAGGGGCGGGCCACAGCTGGACCCAGGAGGAAGCCGAGGGAGGAGAGAAGGGGGCGCCCCGGACTGCAGGTGACCCTGGCCTTCTGCAGACCCTGGGTCCCCCGGCATATGCTGCATACCCCAGCCCCGTGCTGTCAGAGGAGGAGGATCTCCTGCTGGACAGTCCCGCCCTGGAGGTGTCGGACAGCGAGTTGGACGAGGCCCCGGTGGCTGGCCCTGAGGGTAGGGGATCTGACGCAGGTATGTGAGAGCAAGAGGTGGGGGTGGGGGTGGGGCTCCGAATGTAGATAGGGGAGGGGGCTAGAGGAGGCGTGGCTTCCTAAGCGTCTGCAGTACACTCCAGGGCTGAGGGCGAATCCCAGGTCTGCCACCTGCTGGCTGCGGACCTTGGGCACTGTGTCTACCTCTGTGTCCTGGCTTCCAACCTATAATGAGGACGACAGAGATAGTGTCTGTTACTGGTGGTTGGGAGGATTAAGTGAGATAATACGTGTGAAGGAGATAGTGCTTGGTACAGAGTGAGCCTCGGAAGTCTTCCCGATCATTACTGACACAATAGCAGCAGAAATGATCACAGGATCAATTATCTGTTCAATCCCTGCTTCTGCCTACATATCCCCACAAGAATGCCCTATATCCATTTATGCTCAACCCCTGGAAGTTAGCACCACCAGGTACATTCTGTCTCTCTGGGTCTTAATTTCCCATCTGTAAAATGGGCATCATCGCCATCATCCCCACCTCACCTAGCACAGTGCCTGACACTACGTGCTTCACAAAGGTAGACGTAGAGCACGCACACGTTGGCCTCATTTATAGCCAAGGAAACTTCATTCAGCTTAGAGAGGTTAAGCAACCACCCCAAAGTCACACAGCTGGTAAATGGCAGAGGTGGTATTCTTGTATCCAATGGACCTCCACCCCAACCCACCCAGCTCTGTGGAACCCTTGCTGCTTGTGGGAGCCCAAGAGTCAGAGTCTCCCCCACCACTACTCCCAAGCTTCTCCCAGGATCCCAGTGTCTCTGGGGTTGAGAGGCTGGGAGACCCGGAGCTGGAGATACGACCAGGTGGATGCAGACCCACTCCAGATCTGTCCATTAGTCAGCTCTCTGTTAAAAGCCTTTAAGGAGCACTGTCAACCCATTTCACAGATTTTCTCATCCATGGGTTCAACAAATAGGTATTACTGTGCGCTGGCCACAGAGCAAAGCGCAGGATAGACGCAATTCCTGAAAAATAAGGCAAGGAAGGGGGATGGGGTCCTGGGGTAACAGCTTCAGAAAGGGGGCGCGACTTGCCCCGATGGGGTTGGGCACAGACGGAGCCAGGCGGGTGATCTAACAGTCAGCTGTCTCACCCCCATTCTCCTGACCGGGAGACGCGGGGCCGGGCGGGCCTGGGGCAGGCCGAAGCTCACCGCCCCTAACGCGCCCCGCCGCCGCCGCAGGGGCCCGCAAGAAGCTGCGCCTGTACCAGTTCCTGCTCGGGCTGCTGACCCGCGGAGACATGCGCGAGTGCGTGTGGTGGGTGGAGCCGGGCGCCGGCGTCTTCCAGTTCTCTTCGAAGCACAAGGAGCTCCTGGCGCGCCGCTGGGGCCAGCAGAAGGGCAACCGCAAGCGCATGACCTACCAGAAGCTGGCGCGCGCCCTGCGCAACTACGCCAAGACCGGCGAGATCCGCAAGGTCAAGCGCAAGCTCACCTACCAGTTTGACAGTGCGCTGCTGCCCGCCGCCCGCCGCGCCTGAGCCCCGCGGGGACTCTCGGGGGCTCTCAGTGGCTCCACAGCTGTGTCACGTTGGCGTCCCCACACCCTAGGTCACAGGACCCGTGGATCCCTGCACTGTGGAGGGGGAAGGTGGGCTGCCATAATCCCCAAACCCTGCTCAGGGCCCCTTTGGGCCCGCCAGTCGTGTCTGGGACTCCCTCGTCATGTCCAGGATCTCCAGGTTCCTTATGTCTTGGGGCTCACAGGACCCATAGATAACTGTGCTACGTGGTCTGTGTGGAGTGGGCACAGGACTATGCTTCCAGAATCCTAAGCGCTTCTCTGGGATCCGTGATGTCTCCCAACCAGTCCGGGGACCTCTCTGAGACCCCTTGTGTCTGTGATCTCTCAATCTATGTGGGGCCCACTGTTGATCTAACCAGGAGGGGGGCGGCTCCAGCAACCCTAAGCCCTGTCCTGGGTCCCTCTGGGATCCCCTTCTCACGTCTGGGTCCCTCATGTCAAATCTGAAATCTAGCCATGGCTGGGGCCCTCTGGGAGACCTTCATCACGTCTCAGATCTCTGTGAGACTCTCTTGTCCTATCTGTCCTCCCAAATCCCTTCGAGATCCCCCAATTCTCTGGAACCATCTTACTATCCTTTTATGTGACTGGAATTTTCATGTCTGAAAATCCTTTTGTCAGGTCTGAAAACTCCCTTGTCAGGTCTGATGGGGGGACTTCAGTGAACCTTGTCATATCCACACCACCTCTGGGATACCTTACCTGTCTGGGATCCTCCAACCAATCACATCTGGGCAACCCTGGAATCCCCATCTTAATATGCCCCCCAGCCGACCTGAGTTCTCATGGAGACCCTTCCCCTCCTAGAGTGCCCTCCGTTGGGCCATGCTGGGGATGATTCTGTCTGCTCAGCTGATTTCTGGGTGATCTTGGCAGCCTTCCCATGTCATTTCTAACCAGAGGTCTCGAACTGGTGACTTCCCCACCCCCACCCCCTGGGCACATGAGGCCTTGATGGTGTTTTCTTTAGTTCACTGAAGCGTGATTTTTGTTTTTTAAATTTTGAGTGGGGATCCACATGAGCTGGCGTTTCATAAGAGGGAGATTTTGCACAATCCTTCGCTTTGAACTCTGCAAATCCAGTCTTAAGTGGCCAGCTTGACGGTGTGGAGAGGCTGGAGCCGGACAGCCTCCAGTCCTAGCGCGGCATCTGTTCACCGGTCTGCCCCAGTGCCTGCTGCGGCCCCTGGCAGTCATGCCCCGGCAGCTTCTCTCAGTTGCTTGTTAGCGCCCGACCATTTGCATTTTGCCCCCTGGTGTGAACTCAAGGAGGTGAAGCTTGGAGGCACTGTGGGAGCTCTGACTGGACCCCACTGGGGGTGTTAGAGGCTGTGGGCTAGGAGGCCAGGGTCCCGGGCCCTTCAGACTGGCTGGCTGAGGGATCCGGAGCGAAAGACTTGCTGCTTCTGAGCCTCAGTGTGTCCCTTCTGTGAAAGGGAAGAGGAGGAGGCGGAAGATGGAGAAGTCCCTGGCAGCCCGGTCAAGCCCTCGGTGATCTCCTGAAATCCACCCCACCACGGACGGATGGCCAAGAGGGCCACAAAGGAGCACCAAGGACCCAGGGAGACAAGGGTCCTCATGGGGGCTGGTAGCAGAGCCCTCAAGTGACACTGCGCCCCAGGGGTGGGGGGCAGGCACCAATGTCCTCCCCAGGGTCATCATCACCCCGTGTGTGGAATCAAATAAAAAAATCAAAGTAGACAGACCTAGATCCTTGGTCAGGGACAAAAACACCGCTGGCCTTCAGAGAGGGTAAGAGGAGGGGCGAGAGGCAGGCAGAGCCAGCCCAGGCCGAGCCCTGGGGGCCGGGGGAGGGACTTGCGAGGGGCCACGCTGGTTCCATTCCATTTTTGTCTCCCTCTCTCGACGATGGTGTTCCTCCTCTCCCTCTCCCTGGTTCCCTTTCCGGGGTGGGTCTCTGTCTTCTCTCTGTATGTCCGTCCCCATTTCTCTGGGTACAGCCTGGAGCACGCGCGGCGCGAGGCCCCGAGGGGCAGCGTCTCGCCCTGCCCGCAGGAGCGGCGCAGCAGTCTGCCCGGCAACTCGTGACGTCACGGGAGGCTGCCGCCGGGTTGGCTTGGAGCTCCTGGAGGCGGGGAAGTTTCCGGCTCTTAGGGGGTTTTGAAAAAGGGGGAGAAGACGGACCGGAAGAAAGCCGGGAGGGGCTTGTCTTCCCTCCGTTTGGGGGCTCTCTCCTTGTGTTACCTCCTCGCCCGTCCCCCACACCCCTCCCCTGCCTCTCACACCCATCTCCCCATCCTGCTCGTACACCTGGTGTCCCCAGGACCCTCTCCTTCCCAAGACCCTCCCCCTTACCTCCTTCAGCTCCCCTCCCAGCCGGCGTCCAGCCGCTACCACCCCCATTCAGAAAGCCACAGGTCCCCCTGCCGGGAAGGGCGCCAACGTCCGGGCAGCCCTCCAGGGCCTTCCCGGCCTCCCCACCCGCCCCGCTGGGGGCACCGGCCTCCTCCCCCGCGTCCGGTGCCCGCCGCGCCCGCTCCGGGAACACTCGCGGGGCGCTGGCGGGGCGCGGTCCCAGGAGGGGCGGTGGCCAATCCGAGGTCCCAGGTGGCCGGGGCCCCAGGGCTTCAGGTGTGCGGGACACTCAGGAGTCTCCAGGCCTCAGGGCCCTCCTTGCGGGCTCGGAGACCTCCTCCCCCCGGCAGCCGTCCTGCCTACACTGGGAAACCGGACCCCCCCTCCCGGCTCTGGTTTCCGGAAAACTCCTGACTTGCAGATACTAAGAATGGCTTTCTAGACCCTGTCTTACCCCTAACCCCCTACCTCCCCATGCCAGACTTCGGGCTGGCAGCCCTCACCCCTTCCTCTCCCTCCTCTTGGGACCCATGAGTCCAGGCCCTCATCTTTCTCCTTTCTTGGGGACCCAAGAATCTGGGTCCCAGACCCAGGAGTCCCGACCCCTAGACCCCTTCTTGGTGGGGACCTGGCATTCAGCCATCTCTCTGGGTCCAGCTGTTACTTCTCGCCCTTTAGAACACTGGTGGAATGTGGGGCAGCGAGGGGGGTGGGGGAGCATGTCTGAAGTTTCCCGCAGCCTCCTGGGAGTCTCTGGACTTCTTAAAGGGCTCCCCCTGTGGGCCCACCTGTCCTCCCCAGGGCCCGGCAGGACGCAGCTGCGCTTGGAGGAGGAGCAGGAGGTTCACCGACATGCCCGAGGCAAAACCAGGTGTCTTTCGGGAGGGGTTCCTTTCCTTGTGTGGTATGGGGGTCCCCTTCCCTGTGAGGTGAGGGTTTCCTTTCCCAGTAGGGAGTTGGGGCCCCATCTCTGGGTGCAGATGCATATGCTCTGATTGTGAATTTGAGACCCTTTTCTGGGGATGGGAGTCCTGTGTAGGCAGTTTGGGGAGTCTTTGCATAGGAATTAGAGTCCTCTACATAGGGTCACTTCTCTGAGGAACGTATTCTTTCTCTGTAGGGGAATGGGGTCTTTGTGTAGAGATTAGGGGCTCCTGGCTTCTCTGTGAGAGGAGCTCTTCTCTGTACAGGATGATGGGACCTCCTTTCTATGGGAATTGGGGCCTCCCTTTGTAGGAAATTGGGGAACTTCTCCATATAGGGGTTGGAGATTCTTCTGTATGTGAAGTTTGGGGGCCTTTCAATGGACCTGGGGACCATTTCTTTATATGGGGATGGGGCTTTCTCTCTATGAGGAAGTGAACAGAGGTAACACAAGCCCCCCAGGAGGGCGCCTCCTCCTGGGGTGTCCAGTCTGCTGGCACTGGGGTGTCCAGTCTGGCTGTGTGGTGGGGGTCCAACCCCTCACTGCAGCTGGGGCCCCCTGCAGGCCAGGAGCCAGCAGCAGGGATGAAAGACACTGCAGTCAGCATGAGGTGTCCAGTTCCCAGGCCAGGGGAAGAGCTAATTATACCCCTAGCACCCAAAAGGTCAGGGTTTGGTGGCCTGGGTGGATGGGGCATGGCCTGCCTGGGGCAAGATGAAACCTGATCGGGCACAGACTCTGGGATTAGAGATATATTTACACCTGAACAGGCAGGGCTTTGGGCTGAGAGAGGAGAGGTTGGGGGCCTAGATTCCTGGGTTCAGGAGGGGGAGGGCACCTTGCACGTGCTCACCTGTAAACATCTCCTTGCAGTGGCCAAAAAGGCCTCCAAAGGCAAAAATGCTGCCACACCAACTCCCAAGGAAGCCCCCCCTCAAGAGGCTCCTGCAGAGCCCCCCAAAGGTGAGACGGTGTCCCTGTGGACTTGGCAGAACCTGGTATCTCACCCCCCAGGCTCCCTCGGCACCCTTCCTGCTCTAGGCCTTCCTCCACTCGGCCCTAGCAGCCTTCTCCTGTTCTCAGCCCCCCGGGGCTCCCCAGTGTCCCCAGGACAGAGCCCAGCATCTTAGCCTGGCCTCCAAGCCCCTCTTGGCTGATTTGCCACCAGGTCCTGCCCAGCTCTGAACACCCCAGTTCATCCTTGCACCTCTCTTACCCCAAAGCCCCATTCAAGACCACCCAGTCCACCTGCTTCCAGTTCACAGATGGGCCCACTGAGGTGCAAAGTGGTGGGAAGCCTGGCCAAGGTCACCAGCCACCTGGGTGACACGTGGTCTTTCCCAGGTCAGGAGAAGCCACTGTGCCCCATGCAGAGGGTCCCTCACTGGCTCTACGGCCTGCCCCCAAGGTGGCCTGCTGCCCTCTCCCTAATTCTGTCCCCTGAGCAGAAGGTGCACCCGAGGGTGAGTCTCCCATTGCCGAGGAACCCACGGGCATTTTCCTGAAGAAGCCACAGTCTGTGTCTGTGGAGACTGGTGAGCGGGCCTGGGAGAGGGGCCGGGGGCTCCTGACTTCACAGTCCCCCGGGGGTTTCACCGGTCCTGCCTGGCCCCTCCCTCCCATCCCCCCATCCCCTCTGCCCACCCTCCCCCAGGGAAGGACACAGTGATCATGGCCAAGGTGAAAGGGAAGGAGCTCCCAGAAAAACCGACCATCAAGTGGTTCAAGGGAAAGTGGCTGGAGCTGGGCAGCAAGAGCGGAGCCCGATTTTCCTTCAAGGAGTCCCACGACCCTGCCAACAACGTGAGAACCCGGTGGGGCCCGGAGGGCATGCGGGCCGAGGCTGGAGGCTGTGCAGGCCCGAGTCTCAGAAGGCCTGTTGCCTGAGGTGTGATTGTGGGCCCAGAGCCCCCATGGATGGACAGAGGCCCTCCAGGGATGGAGGTTGTGCAGGGCAGGAGGCGGGATGTTTGGCTAGGGCAGGGTGCCCTTGTGTGCAACATGTGCATTCCCAGAAAGATCTCAAGGGTCAGGGGTCAAGACTGTCCAAAAATAGGAGGACACAGTTTGTTCCTCCTGTGGGGCAGAGGTGAGACCTCAGACATTCAAGGTGGGCTCTGGCAGCGTGGAGAGGCGCTGGGGTGGCCACATGCACCCACACCCCTGCCCCTGGCCCCCAGGTGTACACGTTGGAGCTGCACATTGTGAAGGTGGTACTGGGGGACCGCGGGAGTTACCGCCTTGAGGTCAAAGCCAAGGATGTCTGCGACAGCTGTGGCTTCAGCATCGATGTGGAAGGTGCACTGGCAGGGGTGGCAACCAAGGGCTGTGGGATGGGGGGACGGCTGTCCCAGCCTAATGTAGGGAGAGCGTACAGATGGGGGTTGAGGTGGGCACAGGTTTTTGGAGGAACGAGTACAGATTCAGGGGTCAGGGTATTCAAAATTGTGGAGGCACCTATAGGCTTAGAGTGGGACGAGGTGTAGATTTGGGGGTAAAAGGGTTCAGGGTTTTGGGGTGTGCATGCTTAGGAGGTGTGTAGATTACAGGGTCACAGGATACAGACTTGAGAAAGTAGCAGTAAGGACTTGGGAAGTGAGTGTGTCCAGGTCTAGAGTCAGGGTACACAGGTTTGGGGTGAGGGTGAACAGGATGAATGGGAGGCTGTACAGATCGGAGCCTGGAGAGTGTTCAGGCCCCGGCGATCTGCAGCCCAGGATGTGTGGGGCGGACAGAGGGAGTGAGGTTGCCCAGGCCTGGAGAGAAGGGCGTGCTGGCGCAGGCGTGAGGAGGCGTAGGCTGCCGAGAGAGGGTGGTGCATGGCAGCCAGGGAAGTGAGTCTAGAGATAGAGGGTGTCTGGGCTTGGGAGAGGTTCTTCCCTCAGCCTAGAGGGGTGGTCTGGGTCTCAGATCAGGCTTGGCCTCCAGTTTCCCTTTCATCCCCCCATCTTCTCTCCCTAGCACCCCATCAGGACTCCTCTGGGCAAGGTCTGGAAAGTTTTAAGCGCATGTAAGTGACCCTGAGCCCTGGGACGAGGAAGAGGGTTCCCGGAGCCAAGGGCCCTGGGCACATCTCCCCCGGGGGATGAGTACGGGGGAAGGAAGATTGGGGCTGGGAACCCCGGGTGAGTCCAGGGGGACAGGCCTGTGGCGGGGCTGACATCTCCTTTCTCAACCGCCACAGGGGTGAAGGGAAGTCAGAACTTGCGGGTGAGCTGGATTTCAGTGGCCTGTTGAAGAAGAGGTGAGCCCGCCCCACCTGGCCTAGAGGGGAAATGGGGGCTCTAGGAGAAAGATGCAGGCGTGGCCCGCCTGCCCCTGTGGCTTCCTCACTGCCCTCTCTGGACTCCCCGCTCTCCCCACCCCCCTCCGTCTACTCGTTCCGGTTGTGGGGGTGGTGATGGCCCAGTGAGTAAGGTTGTGACTGCCAGGCTGAGTTGCTGGGACTTCCTCCTGAGAGCACTGGGGAGCCAGGGAGGAGTTCTGAACAAGGAAGGGATGGCATCTTATGAGGAAGTTGGAAATATCCTGCTGGGGCCATGTGGGGGGCAGAGTGGGAGAGATCAGATGGAGGCCAGGGGGCCAGGGAGGAGGCTGCGGCCATGGCCTAGATGGGAGAGAGCCTGGGAGTAACAGGCCCAGAGGGAGGTGACCCAGCAAGTGAAGGCAGAGAATACCCTCACCCCCTCACCCGCCCTCCCCACCCCCAGGGAGGCGGTTGAGGAGGAGAAGAAAACGAAGAAAGACGATGACGACGTGGGCATCCCACCTGAGGTCCTGGAGCTCCTGAAGGGGGCGAAGAAGAGCGAGTATGAGAAGATCGCCCTCCAGTACGGCATCACTGACCTCCGGGGCATGCTGAAGCGGCTCAAGAAGGCCAAGGTCGAGGTCAAGAAGAGTGCAGGTCCGTTCTGGTCCAAGGGGGGATGGTACCAGCGGGCAGCGTGGCTGCTATTTGGATCCTGGACTTAACTTTTGGAGGCCCCAATCTGAGGAGCCATAGAGCCCTGTTCTCAGGGACCTCCAACTTCATAGGAGGCTTCCTGACCTTGACCTCAGAGGGCCCATGGTCTGGGAAGGGAGACTTAGCAGCCCTGGGGATGATCGGGGCAGTGAGAACCTCTCAGCTCCATTCCCCTGCGTCCCTCAATCCCCAGCCTTCACAAAGAAGCTGGATCCGGCCTACCAGGTGGACAAGGGCAACAAGATCAAGTTGGTGGTGGAGATCAGTGACCCAGACCTTCCCCTCAAGTGGTTCAAGAATGGCCAGGAGATCAAACCCAGTAGCAAGTAAGTGTGGGGGGGCCGTACCCGGGGTGGGGGAGATCTGAGTCCCAGAGAGAGCACCCAAAAACGAAGGTGGCCCCTCTTGACCCAAAAAGGGCACTCCCTCCCTCACATGAAAAGCATCAATACCTCAGTAGAAAAATTGACAAAGGCATTGGAGAACATTTAGTTGAGAAGAAACTCAAATGGTCAAATATACCTCCAACCTTGCAAATAATAACAATAACAATAACAATGCCACTCAAAACAATTCTTTCTGCTCTCCAAATGGGCAAAGACAAAACAATAAAAACCAGTGCTGGAGAACACACTGGCGAATGGGTAGGCAAATGTTGCTGGTAGGAGAATAAATTGCTACATCTCTGGAAGGGCAGTGTATTAAAAAGCCTTTAGAGGGTGCCATTCTAGGTATTTATTGTAAGGGAATTACCATGCTTATGCATATTTAACTTCAAGGATGCTCACTGAAGCATTTGCTATTGTAGCAAAAAAATGGAGAACAACCAAAATGTATAATTGCATGCTAAGCTAAGTTGCTTCACAGTCACTAAAAACGTTGTTCTAAAATACGTACAAACATGGGAAGCTGTTCAAGATTAGTGTTATGTGCAGAAGCATGGTTCCCGTTTCTGCTTCACAAAATGTTCATCTACATATGTATAGATAAAAATATTGGAAAGGCAGAGTCCAAAATATTTGTAGCAGTTATTTCTTGGTGGGACAATTATGGCTGAGTTCTATTTTTATTATTATTCCTTGGCTGTGTTTTTTGAATTTCTCTTCATGAGCATTTTGGATGAGATAAAAAGCTGTGTGAAGGTGCAGGTTAAGTTGCCATGACAAAGAGTCCCCAGAATACATTAAGTTAGAAATAAATGCATTTCCAGCTGATGGAGCTTCATGGATAGGCCCTCCCTAGAGATTTTCTACAGACCCAGGTCCCCTGTTTTGGTTACACCATTTCTCAGGATGTTATCCTCATTTGCATGACTGAAGCTGGGTCATGGGTTCATCTATGTTTGGCAGACAGGAAGGGGGAAGGAGAGAGGTCCAGAGTAAGCAACGCAAAGGTGGAGGTGACCTGACAGTTGTATATATCATATCCACTCACATTCCCTTGGAAAGCTCTGTGGTGTGGATATCCCAAAGCAAAGGATGCTGGGAAATGTAGTTCTTTAGGTGGCTGGCTGTGTGTCATTGCTGAATGGAAGGAGGGATGGATAAGGGTGGATAGTTAGCATTTCTGCTATGGTTATTTAAATACTAGAAATTGGACCATCTGTCCTTTGCCACACAACTTGGCTCTGAGAGGAAGTACTTGCCTTGAGATCTACCCCAGGGCTAGAATCCCCTCCATGCCCTAGGATGAGGTGAGATTTCTGCACCAGGTATGTGTTTGAGAATGTTGGTAAGAAGCGAATTCTCACCATCAACAAGTGCACGTTGGCAGATGATGCTGCTTATGAGGTCGCAGTCAAGGATGAGAAGTGCTTCACCGAGCTCTTCGTCAAAGGTGAGGCTGGGATTTGGGTCCAAGCTTGCAGAGTGGGACTCTGGAGACAGTCCTGAAACTACTAGCCTCCTGACTCCTGTGCCCACAGAACCTCCCGTCCTTATTATCACACCCCTGGAGGACCAACAGGTGTTTGTGGGCGACCGGGTGGAAATGTCAGTGGAGGTGTCAGAAGATGGTGCCCAGGTCATGTGGTAAGTGACTCCTGACCCTGATGCACACACAGGCGCCCACAGCTTCTTTGCTCTAGTCCTGATGTCTCTTGGAGATTTGGGCCTTTACCCAGTAGTCACCAGGAGACCTCAGCCTTTCTGTAAATGCTCTGACTTTACCCATGACTTCTTTCTAGAACTTCTGAGCTCTACCCATCCCATCTTCTCTGAGGTCCTTTCCCTGATCCCTGCTATTTCAGATTAATTAAATCACTTATTCATCCATTCAATCATCCATCCATCCTTTGGTCCATCTACCCATTCATCAACCCATCCATCACCTCGTCTACTCATCCATCAATCCACCCATTCATCCCATTGATTCATTCATTCATCTATTCATCCATCTACTCATTCATCTACCCATCCATCCATCCATCCATCCATCCATCCATCCATCCATCCATCCATCTTTCCATCCATCGACTCATCTACCCATCCATTTGTCCATCCCCATATCTGTTCACCCATCCAACAAGTTTATTGAGTATCAATTGTGTGGTTGCACTTTTCTACATACTGGAGATAAAATAGGGAGAAAATATATCAACATGGTACCTGCCCTTGTGGAGTTTATAATCTGGTAAATTGCATGGGTGTGTGTGTAGGAGACAGAGACAGGCATTAGTCAAGTCATCATAGAATAAATATAAAAATTCTATTTGACAAGTGTTTCAGAGGAGCACTAACTGATGCTATGACCACTTTTTATTTGGAGGAAGTAACTCAGGAGACCAGGGAAGGCTTCCTGGAGGGAGTGACAGTAGAGCTGTGATTTGAATGACGAGGAGATAGAAGTGAAGTGGAAGCCAGAAAGTACCATTTACAGAAGCCACAGAATTTACCATTTCTCAGTGACCCCAGGACCTCCTCCATGCTCTGATATCACCTGCTGACCTCTTTCTGTGTCTGTGTTCTCTAACGGAACCAGGAGGCACCTCCCTGCGGCTATGGCCTCCTTCTCTTCTCTTTCCTGACCCTAGCCTGTGACTCATCCATTCTGGGTGCCTCTGCCAACCTTAATCTCTCCCCCCTCCTGTGACCTCCCTTCTGACCCCCAACCTCTGCTTAGGACTGACTCACCTTCTGACATTCAGACCCAGGACTGTGTGGGCCTCTCAGTTCCCCTCTTCACATCCTCTCCATCCAGGATGAAAGACGGTGTGGAGATTACACGGGAGGATTCCTACAAGGCCCGGTTCCGCTTCAAGAAGGATGGGAAGCGTCATATTCTCATTTACTCAGAAGTGAGCCTAGAGGATGGGGGTCACTACCAGGTCATAACCAACGGTGGCCAGTGCGAGGCTGAGCTCATTGTGGAAGGTATGGGGCATCCAGGTTGGGTTGGGGGCCACACTGCTCATGCTTCTCACAGCTCCAAGTTTCCCAGCCCCAAATCTTGGAGATGTCCCCAACTCCTCTCTTTGCTCTGCACCCTACATTCAATTTACCAGCAAGTCCTGGTGGCTCCACCTTCAAAGGATATGCTGAATCTTACCTCTTCTTCCCACCTCCATTGCCCTCACCTGGCCCGGGTTCCCTCCCCTCATGCCTGGACCACTGCTAGTAGTCTCCTACTGGTTGCTATCTCTATGCCTGTCCCCCACCTCACACACACACACACACACACACACACACACACACACACACTGCAATAGTCTCCTACTGGTTGCTATCTCTATGCCTGTCCCCCACCACACACACACACAGACACACACACGGACACACACACACACACACACACACACACACACACACACAC